TAGGAGTGTTTAATATAAAAATAAAACTGACAAATGAGGTCATTTTGCAGAAACTCCTTTTTACAAAGTGTCAGATTTGTGGATCAGTGAGTAACTGCTTGGTTATAAAATGACCTCCTGTTGCTGGGTTTGCATAACTTTTTTCTTTTTCATTCTCACAGCCAGTGTAGAGCATGGCTCCTGTGAACAAAAATGAAAACACATGTGAAACATGTCGCTTAAAGACAGAAACCAAGCATGAGCAACTACACTTAGTGGGCACAAAAGCTTTATATGGTTTGAAAAACTGTTTTTCCTTTTGGAAGGAAGCTGGATCATTGTTTAGAAATTTGTTCAGTCAGCGATCAGTCCTTCTGTTCTTAGCTCACTAACAAAACCTACTTAGTAGCATGCCAGTGAAAATGAGCAGACACTGTGCCCTACAGACTGTTTTTCTCTTGTTCAGTGCTATGCGCTTCTCTACTGTTGAGTTCAGTCGTCTTTCTCTAAATGAACAATGATAATACACGGGAAGGAGAGAAACATTTGTAATACATTTTTTGCTTGTAAAAATTGCATACTTCTGTTTTTGAGCAGTATTTTTGCATAGCAATACTTTTGCTGAGTGGGATAATGAAAATGTTCTCCCGTTCCTTTTCTTTCAGATCAGTGTTTGCTATGTTAGTGCAGATGATGTTTGATTTAGTCAGGCTGGCTTGATTTAGATTCTGTTATGCTTTCTTGAGCATTTGTAGTAATTAGACCCTCACTAACCCCTTAAGATAATATACAAGAACCCCAACAACTGATGGGCTACATCTCAGGGCTTTGTTACACTTAAATGTGCTTTGCATCTCACAGTTTCATTTATAGATGCAGATCCCTGTGAGTTAAAACAGATATAAAAAGATCACCACATAATAACTGTTAATTTTAACTCTCAATTCAGGTAAAGAAACATGGCCTCCAGTGGAATCCTTGTGTTCATTTTCACTGTCCTTTGCATCTGTGCAGTTAAGAGTGGTAAGTTTATTTATAATCTGAGAACTTCAAGTGTGCTTTCTGCTCACATCTAACCTCACATCTAATTTTGCTTTCTTTTTCTATAGGTTTTGTAAAAGTTGAATGCAAAACTAAAAATGTGGGACACTATGGCCAACAGTCACTGCTGGAGTGTGTTGTCAAAACAGGAGAATCTGTAATTGATCCAACTATCCGTACGGTTGCTTGGAAAAAACTGACCTCACCAGAAGACGAAGGTGATCTCGTGTTGGGTTTTCAAAAAGGGAAATTGGACGAGCCAAAGCGAGGCTACATGTTTGCTGAACCATCATGGGACGAGAAGAACATGAATGTATCTCTGCTCATCAACAACACTGCAGTGGCACACAATGGAGATTACGAGTGCATGGTGATCACAGACAGTGGCGATCACACCAGTGTCACTACCCTTAAAGTCCAAGGTAAAACTGAAACATTTTTATATTTTTAAATCAAGAATGTTTTTATATTTTTTAAACACCTTGTAAGCAATGAAGATTGTCTAGAGATGTGGGGACTTTCCAGGCCAATCAGATTGGTATTCCCCTTAAGCAGCTTCAGGCCTGTCTGCTTACTTTCAGTTTCAATGTGACAGCAGTAACATCTAGAAATACCAGTTGTATAAGTACTTGCAGCCATGTTTTTAAGCAACTTGTACTGTTTGACTTGTAACTTTTTATTACATGTGAACTACTATGACTATCACATCTTATGATACTTTATTGAAATCATTTTATTTGACATCAAGGTGCAATGTCCAGCTCAATGATTGTGCTTTCCATTTTGTCTCTGCAGCTAGATACAGTATCTCAACTGTACACTTCACCCCTGAGAAAGTTGACCCAAACTCAGACAGTACCCTGATCTGTAAGTCTCGCGAAGGCTACCCAAAGGGAACACTTCACTGGTTTGTTGAAGAGAATAATGACTGGACAAAAAGCTCTGAAATGGAGGTGACACAGTCAGATGATGGTTTGTTTCAGCTGACAAGCAGACTCCCTTTGTTCCAACAATCCACTTTCCAAAAGTATACCTGCGTTGTGTTAAATGCCAGTGGAAGCAAAGAGGATGAGTTCACATTTGAAATGCCAGCACCTCTTGAAGGTATATTTTATGACACACCATTATGCACCGCATATGATACTTGTTAGGCCTGCTGACACCATCCTACTTTTCACAATACTGTTTTGTAATTTTAGCCAAAGTGTAATCCAAGAGCATGCTGTACTTTAACCTCTTAAGACCCGAACTTTTCCATGGCATGCATTTTTAATTTCTCTTTGACATTTGGGCTGATTGGGACCTGATGAATGTAAAAACAAAGAATTACCAGATTTTTTTTTTACCTAATTTTTGTTTCTAAGAAAAATAAGAGCCACATATGAGGATATTCGTTTAAAATTTTGATAGAACAGTAGCAGTATAATGTCCTCGTAAGTGGATATCAGGCCCTTGTAGAGCAAGATTTTGGTCTAAATAACCCAAAATGTGATGCCAGGTCCTAGGAGGTTAAATCTGAAAAACAACCCCCCCCCCCAAATTGTCAGAGTTACATAATTCTTTTGAGATTTTGTGTGGGCTGAATTGGAAAGTGTGCAGGAGATGTTTACATATTAAAAAAATAATAATAATAAGAGTTTTGATTTATATTTAGATGATTTCATGGGTATATTAAGTTTTTATGTTTTATCTATAACTCAAAAGAAAGACTGTCTGTGCTGTAAGTCTTTTACACTCTTCAGTAAATAAACAGTTTGCAACATGTTTCTTACCAAAGCATTCAAAGGTTAAAACAGTCTGAGTCCAGATTAGACTGGTCAATCCTTTGTTTGTCATGGAAAATGTAACTTAAAGATGACATTTGTAAACTTATCAACAGATTTTCTTGCCAACTATCCCAGCCACTCAGATCATTATCCTTAGGTCTGTCATCTGTCACAGACCTAAGCAATAATGAAAATATTACCCACCATGTTGTTCTTGTTTACTCTCTACTTCTGCAAGTTTAGTGTTTTAACAGGAAGCAAATATTCAATTTGTACTGACTCCTGTGTCTGTTAATGAGAAAGTGAATGTAAGAATGAATGAATGTAACGTGTACTCTGTGTACTTTTAAAGATGAGCTCACATAATTTTTTTTCAAACTTCTCATTTATTCAGGGGTGCCAGACCCCAGGTCACCTGAGACCTCTAAAGTAGTTGCTCCTTTGGTGGTCATTGGTTCGCTGATCATAGGTTTGCTGTGTGCACTGTTGCTCTACAGAAGGCGATCTCAAAGTGAGTAATTTTTTTATTTTTTATTTTTTGGGAGGGGGTATTAAAATGACTTGATGAACTGTATCCGATCAAATAACAGATCTTTGTGAGTAAGGACAAATGAGACTTAGAGAAATACATTTAAATGTCTACATTTGTCGATATTTTAATGTTTTAATGTTTAAACTCAGAGTTGTTCCCCGCTCTGTGTAGCTTAAAGTTTCCTCAATGAATAACTGTGATAGATATTCTTAGTACTGAACAAAATAATAGTGATTATCACATTGACCATACTCATGCAGCCCTACTGGTGAGCAGTAACTGTATTATCAATGTACAATTACAGCAGTGGTGCCATTACTTTGACAATTCAGAAACTGATTAAAGTTTTTAATGTGATATTTGAGCTCCAGCATTCTTCAATGCCATGTGAGAGTTCATCACCTGTTTCCTGTAAGCAATACAAGCTGAAAGGAAAAAACGTGCAGTATGATGCTAACGTGAAGCAGAAAAACCTGTAACACCTGACTCGAGGCCATGTTATTCGGGATGGAAAAATACACTCCCATCATTGTTGTGCTGGTTTAAACGTGGCTTTTGAAAACTGTGAACAAGTTCAAACAGCAGTCTAAAATACTTTCCATTATTAGACATCACATAGATGATGAAATACAGCGAAAGATATCAGCAGGGAGAACTCACTGCTGT